AGATAGATAGATAGATAGATAGATAGATAGATAGATAGATAGATAGATAGATAGATAGATAGAAAGATCAGATCAGATATATAGTTTTCCGTCTCTGCTGGACTTTCTGGTTTTTCTTTGAAGACGTTTCGCTTCTCATCCAAGAAGCTGCTTCCGCTCTGACTGGAGGGTGGGGAAATGAAAGGATTAAATCCTATAAATCCTTCCATTCCATAAAGTATCAGTCCTTCCCTTCCCCACCTTCCAGTCAGAGCTGAAGAAGCTTCTTAGATGAGAAGCGAAACGTCTTCAAAAGAAAAAAATAGAAAGTCCAGTTTCCTCTTGGGGGTGGAAAAAAAACAGCCCCTTTGGGATTTCCAGTCTGTAATTTGCTGTTTTGCCTTCAAATCAGCCTGATGACTGCCTGGCCAATCCCATGCAGTGGATTTGTTCACTTAGGATTCCTTAGATTAGCCCCAATATCCTTCCTGATCTATGTGAATTATTATTTTTTGTTTGTTTGTGTGGCAGGTTCCACAATCACAGCTGAAATCCAAGGAGTGATCGATGCCTGCGTGAAATTGACCGGGATGCCTGACCTCACCCTTTCCTTCATGGTAAAAATGAGAGGGGAGAGGACCCCTCGTGCCCAGCCATTTTAACATATTCCCTGTCTTGCCCTTCCATAGCCAACCATCACGGTGCCCATACCCAAAAATAGGAAACCAGTCAAATCTTCCCACGAGTGGTATAAAGCGGTAAAACCAGGGATGTTTTACTGCCTTAACGTTCCGCTTGACCGCCATAAATCCATAAAAGTTGATGTAGGTGACTTTGATTCTTCCTCTCTTGGTGGTAAACTTAAGTTTCTGCCACAGTATTATTTCCCGGCCTGCGGAGATGGATAGGAATTGGGACGAATTCTGGAAGGTGGGCATTCCAAGGGCGAGGTGTAGCAGCTTTGTTTTAAAATAAGGGAAGGGTCTCGTGGAAGGAAGGCTGAAGAGTTGAGTTTCCATCTTTGAAAATGGGGTTGTGGGAAACTGTGGCAAAGCACAACATAACACAGTTACGGCTTCCTAACATCGGAATAGTCCACTGTATCTCCATCTTGGCAACTTTTAGGACTGTGGACTTCAGTTCCCAGAATTCCCCAGCTAGCAAAGCTGTGAGTTGAAGTCTTAAGGTTGCCAAGGTTGAGAAGCCCTAGAATAGCACCACCAGCCCAGGAACTTCCAACTCTTTTATCCTTCCTCTTTCCAGAACCCAAGATTGTTGGACGATGTCAGCTTCCACCCCTGTGTGCGTTTCAAGCGGTGGGAATCCGAACGCATCCTGTCCTTCATCCCTCCCGATGGCAACTTCCGCTTGCTCTCTTATCACGTCAGCGCTCAAAAGTAAGATGGATTCTTCCAGAGTTTTGGACTTTCTCAGAAAACAACAACTGAATAAAAAAACTGCTGGTGACCTTCTCCCACTGCACCAGAGAGAGTATCTTAACTTACTCCACCTCTGTATGGTTTGCCAATTGCACAGGGGCCGATAGGACGGCGCTCCAGAGGGTGAACATCAATGCCCAGAGGATCATGGGTTGCCCTCTCCCCTCTTTGGAAGAGCTTTAGAGCTCCCCCTGCCTTAAGAAAGTTCAAAACATTCTCATCCTGGAATTTTCTGGAACACTGACGGCAGTTTCCTGAAAGGAACGGCGTTAAGCCAGGGCAAACTCAAGATTAGTGGGCTACAACTCCCTTTGCCATGACGACGCTCTTCTTTTTCCACAGTTTAGTGGCCATCCCAGTCTACGTAAAGCACAACATCAGCTTCCGAGACAGCAGCTCCCTCGGCCGCTTTGAGATCACCGTGGGGCCCAAACAGACCATGGGGAAGACGGTGGAAGGGGTACTGGTCACCAGCCAGATGCCCAAAGGGGTGCTTAACATGACCCTCACACCTTCTCAAGGGACACACACGTTTGATCCTGTCACAAAGGTGAGGAAATATAGAACCTTCAGCCGAGCCTGGTTCTTGGGATGAGCCTGTCCTCTTTTCCTGTTGTGGGAGAAGGAGTGGCAGAATATGGGGGGGCGGAGTTAAAAGAGGGATCAGCCTAGAATCCTTACGCGGTCACAAGCGGATGAGGCCCTGTTAGTAGGGAAGATTCCTGTGTGTAGGCTGTTGAGCAGTAAACTGGTTTAATTGGTAGCTGTTGTGGCTCGCCGGCAGCCTGTGCAGACAGCAGTGGAATCAGACAGTGGGGAAGAATGGGAACCAGTCCAGAAGTCTGGAGAGGATTCTCATGGGGGTCCTGCATCCGATGCAAAGATGGGGCCAGCACCATCTGGGAGTGGGGTGCTGACTCTGGAGCCTTTGGAGTCTGGCACCAGTGAGGCAGAGGAACAAGGGGAGCCTGTTCCCAGTGTGCATGTGCACAGAACTGCCAGAAGGCAAGAGCAGCTGAGACAAAAGGGGCGACTCAGGAGTAAGGCTGGGAGGTGATTGCCCCTCCCATAAGGGATAAAGGACAGGCAAAGGTGATGAAGCCTTTGCAGGAAGCAAAGTCGTTCGTTCTGTTCAGATTGAAGCTCTGTGTGGACTTTGTACTTCGGTTGGTTTTTTTTTACCGTTAATTTGGCACTTTAGTTGTTGGTAGCAATTCAAAGGAGAGAAAGGTGGGTGCTTATCTCGAGGGACTGTTTGGGACTCATTGCAAATGAGCTGAAATAAAATAAGAGTTGTTTTAACTCAGCGTGTGCTTAATTATGGTCTCAGGAAGCCTTGGACAAAACAGAAGCTTTTTTATTAGTGGGATGGCTGTGGGGGTGAGAGGGTGGGGGTAAAGGAAGACATGGCCACAGAGATGGATCGCAGGTAGTCCTTGAGATACAACTACAATTGAGCCCCACATTTCCGTTGCTAAGCCAGACAGTTGCGAGGTCAGTTTCATTTCATGTTCAAAACCTTTCTTGCCACCGCTGTGAACTGAATCACTGCAGTCCTTGATAATATTTTAATAATATTTTGTTTTCTTCATTTAGTAGTTCTTCTTCTTCTTCTTCTTCTTCTTCTTCTTCTTCTTCTTCTTCTTCCTCCTCCTCCTCCTCCTCCTCCTCCTCCTCTTCTTCTCCTCCTTCTCCTCCTCCTCCTCCTCCTCCTCCTCCTCCTCCTCCTCCTCTTCTTCTTCTCCTTCTCCTCCTCCTCCTCCTCCTCCTCCTCCTCCTCTTCTTCTCCTTCATCTTCGTCTTCGTCTTCGTCTTCTTCTCATCCAAGAAGCTTCTTCAGCTCTGACTGGATGTTGGGAAATGGAAGGATTTATATTGCAGAATGCAAATGACCAGAGCTGTCTGCAAGGAATATCAATCCTTCCCTTCCCCACCATCCAGCCAGAACTGAAAAAGCTTCTTGGGGGAGAAGTGAAACGTCTTCAAAGAAAAAACGAGAAATTCCAATTGCCTCCTGAAAAAAAAAAAAAAAAAAAACCACACCTTTGGGATAAGCAGGACCCGGATGACGGAGAATCTCCACAGACGTTTATCTTGTCCTCTCTTTCTTTCTCCCCCCTTCCCTTGAAAGCTGCTGGTGTGGGACGTGGGGAAGATCAGCCCTCAAAAGCTGCCCAGCTTGAAGGGGACGATGGGTCTTCAGGCCGGGGCCTCCAAGCCTGATGAGAACCCCACCATTAACCTCCAGTTCAAAATCCAGCAGTTGGCGATCTCCGGTTTGTGATCTTCCAAATCTCTGTCTCTCTGTCTTTTATTTCCTACCGCCTTTACTTTTTTTTAAAGCACACTTTTAAAGCCCCACCTGCCATTAAGCAAAGGGATTTAAATGTCATTATTAAAGACACGCTGGACAAATGGGCTGCCTAAGCATTGGGCAAGATTCGCGGTGACGGTGCGTTCTTGGCTGCATCCTATGTTAACTCGGGACCCACAATATTCACAATTCATATTTGGCTGGATTTTGTTCCCCTTGGCTGTGCTGGTCCTGGAGTCTCTGGCCCCCAGTATCTGAGAGACCGTGTGCCGCTAAAAATTAGCACTGAGCAGAATAATTCCCCTGCCTTTTTTGGACATACTTTGATTAAACGTTTTAAAATCAAAAAGTAAAATAATGAATACGGACTAATGTAAAGGAAGAAAAATAAATAAACCGAAGAGGAAGCTAAAAGTGCAAGAAAGAAAGGTTCAGAGAAAAGCGACTTCCAATCTTTACAGCAGCGTTAATGCGGTGATACCTCAGTACTCCGCATTAATTAGTTCTGGGAGGTGTGACGAGTATTAAAAAGGACAAGTACCGAACAAACCACACGACTAGCATGTCACCCGTTGTTTTGGCTGGAAAAGGTAGCGAGTTACAAGGCAACCGACATCAACAAATTCTAGTTTGTGCATCAAGTACCAAACAAACGACGAGTACTAGGACAAAATTTTGGAGTCAAAATGTGTCGAGTACCAAATTTGATGAGTTTCAAAATTAGTTGAGTACTGAGGTGTGACTGTACAATTATGTCATTTACAGTCAAATCTATCTTTTTCCCCTAAAACGGCACCATGACTCTCTTCCTTCTATTATTAAAACCACAAATCATATTCATTTTATGCCGAGAGCCCAGCTCTCATATTTTCAATCAGTTCTTAGTGTGATAAAAGAGTGTTTCCTTTCAGAATTTCCTTCAGAAGAGGACATTTGAAAAAAAAAATGTATTTTTAGAGTGTTATGTTCTTGCTTTTTTTTTTTAAAAAAAAGAGGCAGGGCAGCCATATAAGTTGGAACAAGCTTTGCATCCATTTCCAAGGATCTGGGGCCTCTCTTAGTTCATACACTTTCGTTAAACTCTTAAGAGCAGAGGTCTCCAAACTTTGCAACTTTAAGATTTGTGGACTTTCAGCATCCAGAAATCCTCAGCTAATCATGCTGGCTGGGCGGTTCTGGGAGTTGAAGCCCACAAATCTTCCAGTTGCCAAGTTTGGAAAGTCCTGCTCTAGAGAAATCCTCCAAGGAAATTCCAGTCCCGTCATGGTTGGCGTTGTGAGGACTTGTGAAAACAAACGATTGTTTTCCTCCTCTGAAGAAGTTCAGAGAAGTTCTCTCCACCCAATTTCTTCAGCCACAATTGGCGGAATATTTTGGAAAACGTTTTTTGGGGGGTGAAACCTGTGCCCAGTTTTTGCAGCCACGTCCTACAACCTCTTCCACGTCTGCTTCACCTCCTTTTCTGCTCGTTCCAGGTCTGAAGGTGAATCGTTTAGACATGTACGGAGAAAAGTACAAGCCTTTCAAAGGAATCAAGTACATGACCAAGGCGGGGAAATTCCAAGTCCGCACCTGAGAGATCTTCCGCCGTGGAGACGACTTGTGACTTCTACTCCACCTCTGCTCTCCTCTTCCTCGTGGTTTGCTCCTTCTGGATTTCTTCTGAGACAGGCAACTTCCCCCACCCACCCCAGATTGGCCAGCCCTTCCTCCTTTAACATCTGGAGCTCCCCGTGGCGACAAAGAGCAACACGGAGACGTGGTAACTTCCCTGTGGGATGGTTGGCTTCCCACTTCAGCCAACGATGTGCTTTCCACGCCTCGTTGGAAGTCCACAACAGCCGGGTTCTTTGCCGGACGAAGCTGCAGGCAGAAGAGATGCTGAAGGAACCCCAACAAGAAGAGGCTGGATGGTCTTCCTGCTCACTGCACAGGATTCTGGTTGGGCTCCCAAGCCTGCGCGAATCGTTCTTTCCCAACCTCTCTGCACTCCGCCTGTCCTATTTAACTGCGCCAGCGTGTACAGAAACAGGAAAGGGACCGCTCCTTTCTCAGACCGGGGGTGGGGGGTGTGTGTATGTGTGTGTATATATATATATATATGTTTGTTTGTTTTCTGAGGTTCTCGCGGATATTTGTATGTGGATCTTTGGTTATTCGGGTTTTCTCCCGCGTAAGATTGGAAGTATCTAGGCAACGTTTCGATGAAGTCTCATTCATCATCTTCAGGCTTGTGTCTTCAGCTCTGTGCTTCTCAAGAGTGATGTGAGCTTGCAACTGCTTCCTTTTAACTACTAGCGGGGCTGTGACTTGATTGGGTGGGGGCTTGGCTGTGTTCTGATTGGGTGGGGGTGTGTGTTTTTATATATATATATATATATATATATATATATATATATATAAAAGGCCCTGAGGGTGGGGCACTCGTTCCCAGGCTGCCGCATTTCCTCTTGCATGTGCTTGCGTGTTGCGCTTCCAGCTGATCTCTGACATGCGCTGCTATTAGGCTACTAGATCTGCTTCCCCCCAGTCTGGTGCCTCCCCTGGCTAGTCTCCCTTGAGCTCCTCCTGCCAAATCTCCCTTGCTAATGGGAGTCCCCGCAGGTTTTCCTCCCTACCAGGCTGGGCTACAAGCCGCCGGTCCCTTTTTCGGCGCAACCTCTCTTAGAAGTTTCAGGATGTCGCTCTTCTTAAATCCGAGCCGTGTGTGTGTTTCCGTTCCGATCCGGACTCTCACCCCTGTTTACATGCTTCTGTTTTGTTCGTCGAGAGGAGAAAAAAAACTCCAGACAAATCCAAGTAGACGTCATTTGGCAGGTCCTTTCTGGAATGCCGTGGAAAACTCCAAACTCAAAAGAGATCTGAGATCTGCCGTTCAAGATGGCGCAAAGGCAGAGGGTGTCTGACTGTGCCGGAACATTCTGGACACTGTGAATTTGCAACTTTCCTCTCTTCTCTTCTCTCTCTTCTTCTTTTCTCTCCTCTCCACGCCTCTCCTCCCTTCCTTTCCCCTCCCCTCTCTTCTCTGGCTCAGGAAATCTGGAAGTTGAACTCCACAAAATCCTAAAGTTGCCAAGTTTTGAGAGCCCTGTCCTAGACGGAGTATCTGAATATATTTACTTTCCTGAACAGTCAGTGAAATCCCTTTTGGGTTTGGGGTTTTGAGATCTGATGAAGAGAACTATGGAAGGTGGGTTTGCCAGAAGATCAGGAAGTCGCTACCTGGGGCGAGAGTTGGGTTGTCAAGGGCTGGCTATCATGTCTGAGGAACTTCCTCCTAGTGTATGTATTGGGTGGGGATGGGATAGGAGGGAGTAAAGATGACAGATTAATAGGTCTTCTGTTTCTGTAAGGTCTAGCAGCGGTTTGCTAAAAGTAGCTGAATGGGTGGGTTAAATTTTGGGGGGTCCTTTGGAGTCAGAGAGGAAGAAAAATGGTGCTTGAAGCAGCCTTATGTCCTTTCCAACAGAAGCCCAATTTGTGTGTGGAGACAGCCTCCTTGCCAGTTCCATTTTAATATAAAAAATTAGCAAAAGGGCCCATTGTTTCCAAGCGGTGATCCTAGGATAATCTCGATCAAAACAGATTTCTGGAAAAGGTCTGGGCTAATTAAAAAGCAAAATCTTGTCTCTTAATGCTGAGAAAACATCCCGCTGGATGTCTGGTATGTTGTCCAGGAAAGAGAGGAAAAAATTCCCCCCCCCTCCACCCAGCCTTGATGCAAAACATCTGGGCTTCAGAGATGATTCCTGGAGTCTTCTGAGGAGGATGCACCATCTCTGCCAGTTCAGTAGGTGGAGATGCAAGCCCGAGATATTTTCCAGTGAAAGAAGCCAAGGAGACTTCTGAAGAGAGACGGCCTTCTTTTTGGAATCAAGACAGATTTATGGGTCACACCAGAGAGCAGTCCTTACAGGATGTCTCTTTTGAGGTGAGCTGCTCATTTCCAAGGGCCCTGCAGATATCCAGGTGTGTTCATGACCAAGGCTGGGAAAACAAGCGGCCCTCAAGCCTCCATTCTTCCCACTTTCGGTCCAAAGCTCAAGAGCTTTCTGTCCAGCCCAGCCATTTAAGATGGGCTAATAACTGGTTGGTTTTTACCATCTTCAAAAATGGCTTCTATTTTTAGACGGTTAGTTTACTCACCTCGAATGCCTTGCGGGGTGGAAAGGCAGCACGGACATTGAAAGGATAAGCCAAATAAATCGTTGGGCAAGTGTGGAAGATGGGAAGTAATTAAAGCCTTCACCAAACCCGGCAAGACCATTCTTGCTTCAGTTTGGAATTAAATGTCCATTTGTACGGTTAGTCTAGTGAAAAGAAGAACTAAGAGAGACAGGATAAGCAGTCTTCCAGTAGTTGAGGGGCTGCCACAAAGAAGAGCGGGATCAATCTATTTTCCGTAGCATCCGAAGGCAGGACAAGCAACAATAGATGGAAACTAATCAAGGAGAGAAGCAACCTGGGGATGAAGGAGAAACTTCCATTATCCTTTGGAACCACTTGCCTCCAGAAGTTGTGGATATTCCACCACTGGAGGTTTTTAAGAAGAGATTGGGCAGCCATTTGTCTGTAATGATATAGGGTTTCCTGCCTAAGCGGGGTTGGACTAGAAGATCTCCAAGGTCCCTTTCAACTCTCTTATTCTGTTATACAGTCCAATTGGATGCAAGTCTTCCCATTTTAATACGTGCTCTGTATTCCATCTTGAAAATCCCAACATCCTGTAGCAAGTCATTGAAAAACCCACTAGATATTCCAGGGAGCTTCCCTTGTCTAGGTTCCTCCATACGTTCGACCCTCCGTTTCCATCGCCACAGCCAGGCTGTTCCAGACACGTATCCGAGTCGGAGTGGCGTTCTGGTTCCCTACTCTTTCTTTAAGGGTCGAATGTTGCATTCTGAAGTTCTTCGGTTGAGTTCTGGCACCGCCGGATCGGGCCCGATGCCATCCCTGCATTGTATTTTATGATCATATTGCAGTGAACTTAGCCCGTTGCATTCACTTGACCGCTGCAGTTAGCTGATGGTTTAGGGCAGGGGTGTCCAGTCTTGGCCACTTTAAAACTTACGGACATCTACGACGCTCAGAATTCCCCGGGTAACATGGCTGCCTGGGGAATTCTGGGAGTTAAAACCCCCACAGGTCTTAAAAGCGCCTAAGGTTGGACGCCCCTGCTTCAGGTCACAACCAGAAATTTGAGTAAGCGGAATAAACGCTCAGATAAAACCTGTCATAAGAACCAACTCGATGTGTCACGAGACGGGGAGAGTGACAGGCTCAAAGGGAACTTCAAGCCATCGAAGGTGTTGAGAATTGAATGTGTGAATCCTCTGGTTCCCTGGCCCGTTTTAATTTAGCACCCTGAACGCTCTGCGCCCTGGCCTCTAAGCTATGCCAGTCTGCTTGATGCAACTTGTATTTTTTTCTTCCTTCTTCTTAATCGTTATTCTTACTTAGGTTACTGGACACCAGCGGTCACTTTTCCACCCAGTTGCTTCTCAAACCCTTATTGACAGCGTGCTCCAACCACAGTCCTTCTCAAGGGAAACTTCCTCTAGCTTTGCAGCATCTAACCTGGCACAGAGGTCTTGAGCCCGGCTCACCAGCTCTTAGTGGCCCCCAGCATTAACCAGAGGTTGAGTTTACAACTTCTGGGTATGTACAGTGATGATGCAAGAAGGTGGCCAATCCATGCCCAGGATGCTGTCCTTCACCATAACTTCCATTGGCTGAGCTTTGACTGCTTCCAAGTCATGAGATGTGTGTATTATGCGGGTTTACTCGCGCATATTTATTTATGCCCCTATGTAAACTATGTGGTTTACTCATTCTGCAGATCCAGCTTCTCTAGCTTAAACAAGCCATAGCTTGCTGTGTTGGGCGAACCACACTTCTCAATCCAATAAGCCATGGCTTAGTGTGATGTAACAAATCCAAATGAAATAGTTCTCCACACATTGAGTGTCAGCCTGGAGCTTACAACATGCTAGACCAAGGGTGTCCAATCTTGGCAACTTCAAAACTTGTTGACTTCAGCATTGCTGGTTGGGGGATTCTGGGAGTTGAAGTCCACAAATCTTGAAGTTGCCAAGGTTGGATATCCCTATGCTAGACTTATTATTTATTAAATTTAATGTCTGTAGGAACTCCAGGAGTTCAAATGACTCTACATAAGTAGTCCTTCCTTTTGTATAGTGTTAGGTAGGGATGAACTTGGAGGGAAGAGCCACAGACCAGACAATAGTCAGAGAAGAAACAGTTGAATCTGCAGAGGGAATGAGCAAACCCTCCCTAGTTTCTTGGACCGTAAAGGTGACAGGTGGGAGGAGATGAACTTTCACACTCGTAAGATTGTGTTCGTGTAACCTTACAGCAAAGTAGAATGTGCTCATTGGGGCATGTTTCTTGTCTGGGCTACTTCGCAGGGGTAACAGGTTCTTGTCCAAAATGGTGTAGGTTCTCCTGCGTGAGCAAGGGGCTGGTCTAGAAGACCTCTGAGGTCCCTTCCAGTTCTATTGATTCGGTTCTTGGGTTTCTCAAGGTCATTCCCACACACCATCACAGCACGCATCTCCTGACAAAAGCCATTCTGTGAGAAAGGTTGAGCTGCGAGATTGAGCGTCTCCCGGGGATCTTCTGGGGTGGTGGGAGAACTGGAATTGGAGTCTTCCCAGTGCCCGGTCAATGGCACCTATTGGGCTGTGTTTAATTTAGAGTTAATGTGTGCAAGCCACACCCCCGTGGCCTATAAACAGTACTTTTTGTTGGTGTCTTTCTTTCCGTTAACTGTGAGTAGTTCAATAAACCACAACCGAGTGGTAGCTCAGCGTGATGTGCAAATTCTGTGTGAGCGTAAGAGTCGAAGCCGAGCGCGTGGCCCTGATGTCATGGCCTTGATCATTCTAGCCTGTGGATTAAATTTGAGAATTTGATTCTTCTTTGATTCTGCCTTCACATCTACTCTTTATTCTAGTTGCCACAATGTTTAAAAAAAAAAAAGGTTGAGACCCTGGAAAGAGTGCAGAGAAGAGCAACCAGGATGATTAGGGGACTGGAGACTAAAACATACGAAGAACGGTTGCTTAAATTGGGTGTGTCTAGTTTGATGAAAAGAAGGACTAGGAGAGACATGATAGCACTATTCAGATATCTTGGGGGCTGCCCCAAAGGAGAGGGAGTCAATCTATTCTCCAAAGCCCCTGAAGGAAGGAGAAGAAGCAACGGATGGAAATGAACCAAGGAAAGAAACAAGCTGGAATTAAGCAGAAACTTCCTAACAGCGAGAACAATTAACCAGTGGAACTGCCTGCTACCAGAAGTCATGGGTGCTTCGTCAGTGGAGGTTTTTAACAATCGTATTACTAACAACTATTTTATGTATGTGAACTAAAATACTTTTACATAAAAACTGCATCTTATGCAGAGACAAAGACCACAGAGAGAGACAATCACATCCTTTTCCATTAAAGCCAGCTGCTCCAAGCATAAATGTCTTTTACAAGCTGCGGTGAGAATATGTGTATAATCTGATGCATGTAAATAAGGTCATTTATTCGATAATATGAAGCAGCTGTGGGCATTTTAGCCGTGTCCCCCTTCAAATTTCCCCAGCCATAGGCCAGTAAATCGTACAGAAACATAGCAGGCAAACTCTGTGTGTGTCAGGTATGGTGTGAAGGACAACGAGCAAAACGAGGATAACTTTAATTTGAAAAAGTTTAATGCATTCAAACATACTGGAGATGATTCCCAATAGTCTTTTTGGTGAGCAGAAGACTAAACTCTGCACACCGGGAAACAGGGTTTTGATTTTATACAGAAAATGTGAAATATTTACAGAGTATAAAAATAATCTTTGAAGTTTTATGGAGGGAGGGGGTGCCCAAAGTGATTACCGATTCCTCCTTTATATATATATATAGGTTTTCCCCCCAAGGATTTCTTCAGTTTTGTAGAAAAGACCTTGAAATTGCTTCCCTTAATTTATAGAAAGAGGATTTTTTTAAAAAATAAATAAAATAGAGGAGGCATATTTGAGGAAGCCCAGGGCCCATCTACTCTCAGTCTCCCCAAAGGAGGCCTTTGCAAGAAGACTAGAGGCAGAGGCAGGGCTCAGGTGATGTTGTAACTAATACAGGTGGTCCTCAACTTACAACAGTTCATTTAGTGACCGAAGTTACAACAGCACTGGAAAAAGGGACTTAAGACTGCTTCTCACGGGATCGTCGCAGCATTCCCTAAGGGTCACGTGATCCAAATCCAGAGGCTTGGCAAACTGACTTGTATTTACGACGGTTGCCGTGTTCTGGGGAGTCACGGGCGACTTTCTGGCAGACAAAAGTCAACGGGGAAGCCGGATTCACTTAACAACGGGCTTACTAACTGAACAACCGCAGGGACTCACTTAACAATCATGGCCAGAAAGGTCGTAAAGCGGGGCAAAACTCACTTCACTGTCTCTCTCGGCGACAAAAATTCTGGTCTCCGTTGTCCTAACCAATTACCTGTAAGCATCCAGCCTTAGGTATGTCTAGAAGTGCTTCTTGAAGGGGGAAAATAAACAAACGCCAATACTATCGTTCTAGCCCGGTTCCTAAACCCGGCCGCACAGACCGTCGTTGCAAGAGGGAGGCCCCACCCAAAGCGTGTGTCTTCCCCCCCCCCGCCCGCCCCCCGAGTGATACCGGCTTCCCAGCCTCGTTTCCGAGGTGCGATTCCCTGGTGCAAGGAAGCCCCGAAGACTCAGACACGGATGTTCTCCTGGATCCAGTTCAGGTAGCGCACCACGCGCGTGTAAACGCCCGGCGTGTTTTTGGTGCCACAGCCCACCCCCCAGCTGATGATACCGATTAACCTCATGCGCCCATCGTTCAGACAAACCAGGGGGCCTCCGGAGTCGCCCTGCAGGGGAGAGAAGTCGGAGAACGAATGAGGGAGAGACGGCGGCTGAGCTCCCCACAACGCCTGGCTTTCTCTTCTGAGGAAAGGACCCTCCAAGGTTACAATGGTACTTTATTTATTTTTTTAAAAAGTGCCTCCTAGGCGTTTTCCACACTCAACAACCCTTGCAGCATCCGGATGCTTGGCAACTGGTATGTACTTGTGACAGTTGTGATGTCCAGGGGTCATGGGATTGCCTTGGGCCACCTTCTGACATGTAAAATCAACGAGGAAGCCAGATTCATTGAAACAACGGTGTTACTAACTTAACAATTGTGATGATTTGCTTAACCATTATTGTAATTCGCTTCAGGTAGCTCCCGCTGCCTTAGGAAAGCTCAAAGATCCCTCTCATCCAGGGTACTCTTTTTTTTTTTCCAACATTTACCATCTGGTAGACGGTACAGGATAATAAAAACAAGGACAAATAGGCTGAAAAATAGGCAGTAACTCTATTGAATTCTACTGTATATCATGCAATATGAATGCAATATCAGGGGTTTTCAGTTCGATTGCATGGAACGTGAAGGATGTGTGGTCGTGTTTTATTTTTATAGTTCTAATGTACACTGAAGTTATGATGTACATTTAATTTCGTGTATAAGATGCAATGACAATAAACTAAACTAAACCTGTCAAGAAAGGTGCTAAAATAGGGCAGAATTCACTTAACCACTGTTTGGCTTAGCAACAGAAATTTTGGGCTTAATTGTGGTCCTAAGCTGAGGATTACTTAGACTTGTGCATGTCTAAAGCATCACAAACCTCTCCTTTTTCTGAAAGAGTCGCTTCCAGAAATGGCCCGTTACTCCAAAACATCTGGATCCTTGTGTTCCAGAAGGAAAAAGAGGAATTCTGCACTGGGACTGTTCAGCCTTCGGCATCCCCGGTTGTCTCCTCTCAAGAGGATGCTGGACCTTTAGACCGACCCTACGAGGTTATTCTTAACATTTTGGAGGTTACCTTGCAGGCGTCGTGAAGTTGTCGCGTATCTCCTGCGCACAACATATTCTCGGTGACGGTCCTATTTGCAAGTCGTGCAGGTGTACAGGAGCTGTCTGGGTAGAGCCTGACGTGTCCTTCCTTCAGACGTTCTGAGTGGAAAGGCGAAGCTGTTGGGCGGAAAAAAGGAACATTGTGAAGAGAGGGGAAAGGTTCTTCTGGGTCATAAATATCGCGCTTGGGTTCGTACGATTTGCTCGACCTCGATTCTTCGTTAATAAACTACCACCACCTCCGCGTGATATTGACTGCTCAAAGACACCATAGGATGAACTTCATGTGTAACATGTGTGCTGTGCAGTGGTGGGATTCTACCAATTTCCCTACCGCTTTGATGATCGTGCACTTCACACGTGTAGCTTTTCAAACACCAGCTGAGGTTCTGCTGCACCAATCCGCTGAGAGGATAAAGAACAGAAAAGCACTTCTTTCTCCTCTCAGCTGATCGTCGGAGCTATTTGTTACTACAGGTTAGGCACAACCGGTAGCCATTTTTGCTACCGGATTGGAGAAACCAGTCCAAACCGGTAGCATTTTACCACTGATGCTGTGTGAAACCAAGTCGCGAAAACAACATTTCCCAGAGAATGTTGACCCACAAGTAACTCTTGGGATCCAGTCTAGAGTGTTGCGTGAAGGCAGGTCTTCTGAATTAATTGAAGCACGGGGCTTCCTTCTGTGGCTCACTAGGTTGTAAGTTGAGGATTACCTGGAAAGGTAAACCTGACCTATATTCTCCTAAACCAAAAGGCTGAATTGCCACAATCATCGCACAGGGATTTGAGAAGAAGGGGAATTCTAGGAAGGCTTAGGAGGAGGAGATGACTTGAGGATGTGATGTGCTCTAACAGAAAGCAGATGTCTTTGGGGATATATAAACACGGTCCAGCCGTATCAGCTGATTAGTAACCAGATAGGAATGTAAGTCACAGGGCGACGGCTGCATCAAATTCTGAAGAAAGAAGCTGTTTGTTTAGGGAGAGCAGAACATGACAGATGTCTGTTTTCACCATAAATTGACCGAGATCATTTTCAGCAAAGATGAGGGCTCTTCGGAGATGGCATGACCCACAAGGTTGGTCTCAGAAATTTCTCAACAAGACCCTCTTCTCCCCAAAGCCCAGGATTGCTGGAAACAAATCAGACTTTTTTTTTTTTTTAATGTGATTTTTATTCCACCCTGCCCTAAAACAGGGCTGTACAATCTTGGCAACTTTTTAAGACTTGTGGACTTTAACACCCAGAAGCAGAGATCTTAAAAGTTGCCAAGACTGGATCCCCCTTGCCTTAAAAGATGGACATAACATATTCTGCAGCTCCCATCGAGTATTTAGGGAAGAATGAACGTTGGCTGCCTTTCTTTCCAGCCAGGGTTAATTCTGCCCTGGAAATCCTGTCCTGGACTCTTAAAAATAATCTGCAGCCAGATTGTCCTCTAACTCTAAATGGCTGGTGAAAGTGACTCTCACGTACACATTTCGTGCTTCCCATATCCGGACACCTCGCACTCCGTCCAGTCGGGCAGCTGGAGTCCAGCTTTGGGGAGGCAAACGGGATGGACGCTGTCCGTCTCTGTGACACAGTTTTCAAAAGGGTGTTTCAACTTCAGCAGGGCTGTCAAAACAGAAAGCAAAAGGAGAAGGAAAAAAGGCCCACGAGAACCAGAATTCAGAAAAACAGAGTTGGAAGGGACCTTGGAGGTCTTCTAGTCCAGCCCCCTGCTTGAACAGGAGATCAAGTCAGAAGCAGGAAAAATGCTTACCAATGTCATTGTCCAAAGTCCTGGGGTCGTACTTCTCATGTGTAATGTATCTCTCTACCTGGAAGATCTGCTCTGTGGCGGAGGATTTCACACGGAATGTCCGGCCCAGGACAACTTTGAGGCGTCGGGGATGAAAGCTCCTGCACGGAAAACCACAGGTGAGGGCCAGCTTCCAGGGACAACCTGCCTTCCCTCCTAATAATGCAACTCTCTCATTTCTCTTCCCAGTAGGAAGAGAAGGCTTAACTACGGTTAAGCCAACTAGAATGGTTAGCTCTTGGCTGTAAAACTCCCAACAGCAGAGAGAGAAAAGTCTAAATGGGTTAACATCCAGTGTCTGCTCAGGTTTTTACAGCGCGTGCTGAGCTGTTGAGTGAAAACAAGTTTCCATAGTTTGTAAACCCAGCCAGCTGGATTTGCAACAAACTATGGCTTAAGGTAAACCATGGCTCGCCGTGATAAGTCAACTTCGACAATATCAGTGCAGAATATTTGGGTGTGAAAAAGCATCCATGTCTATGCGGATGATCCAGGAAATCTTTTTCATGTTCTAAGAACGTTACACCCTCCAATCCAATGCACCTACACAGCCCTAGCAGATCCTCCAGCGTAGGATTTGAAAGATGCTTGCAATATTTTGACAATGCGAATGCAAAAACTGGGGAGGTTCAAGAGATGGAGGATGATGGCGGTGCTTGCAAAGAAAAATGAAGTTTCTTTGGAACCCCGAATAATTTAGAAGCTCTTGATGTCCACAGCTTCCTGAGACATAACCTCCCTCTTGTGAAGATTTTGCAAACAGCTGTGACCACTGAGCAAGGCAAAGGATGTTGGCTAGATGGCTTTGGTCCTCTGCCCCTAAAGCAAAAATGTCTCCTCTGCTATCCAGGAACTCACTGACTAGCCAAAGTCCAGAGAGTGAGTCACATGTTGATCACTTACCCCTTTGGAAAGCAGTGAGCAGCTGAGAGAACCCAGCAGGAATTGATGAGGATCCCACCACAGTGATAACCTTCTAGACCTCGGTTCTTCACAAAAATGCCCGCCTGCCACGGGTGCGACTCAATATATGAATATGCACCGCCTTTGATCTGGATCTCGGCCACTTTGTGCTTCCTCAGCCCGCAAGTGGCTGCACGTGGGAAAGAAGAAACCAAGGAATAAGATTTAGAGGTGACGAAGCAGTGAAGCTCAACATCTGTTTACAATCACCGTGGAAGCCTGGCACTCGGACGAATTAGCCATCAATAGACACATAGACATAAACAACATCTACTGACGGTGCAATAGAGACAATTAACACATCCCGCTTTTGGGATTTGTGGTTCAGCAACATCTTGAGATCAGTTAGTTCTCCATTCCCAGCATCAGGCATTGGCCGTAATCCCCGGGAAGATACATCAGAGAAAGGACCCACTTACAGCAGACTGGCACGTCACAATGTTCCCATTTTGTCACACCATTCTTGAATATATTGCACCACGGCTGAGTGTCATTGTCAGGATTCCTGTAACACACAAGAAGTGGGAAGGTTGGGAAGACGGCAAGATCTCCTCGTGTAGGTAGTCCTCAACTTACGATCACAATTCACCCCCAAATAATTCCCCCCTGGTAATCAAGACAGTTGTTAAGTGAGTTTTGCCCCATTTTGCAACCTTCCTTGGCACAGTTGTTAAGTGAATCGCTGACGTTGTTAAGTTAGTAACACGGTCGTTAGTTGAATCTGCCTTCTCCGTTGACTTTGCTTGTCAGAAGGTTGCATGACCCCGGGAGACTGCAACCGTCATAAGGACGTGCCAGTTGCCAAGCCTCCAAATGAGCCAAGGAAAAGTCTCCAAATCCCAATACTTGGGACAAGGCACAACCACCACCCCTGCCCCGACTTCATCCCCCGTGGCCCAATGGGTGCCATATTCCAAAGAACATCCAGCGGAGATTCTGTCATCCAAAGCCTACCTGGGCAGCTATAAAGATTCAACGTATACATTTCTGGCTCACCTGCAGTAGTTGTGGCTGCTGAGGCCTAGACGGCGGGCATCGGGATGAAGGGCGTTGTAAACATTCTTGTCAATGAGGTGGGAGTCCCACCTCAGACATGTCAACCCCGATGCTGTTTGGTGATGGCTGCCCCGATAGTCGGTGCCTCTTCCCAAAACACAGGAATGTTTTTCTGCGGCAAAGGATCGGAAAAAGGGATAGGTTGGATGGAGAAAGTCCCCCCCTTTTTCTTTTCATTCTTTAGTTTGGAAACCCCCTTCTACTGTGTTTCTCATGTAATAAGGCCGGGTCTTATTTTTTTTTGAGCCCTGAAAAAATGGCTAGACTGTCTTTTGGGGGGGGTGACTTAATTTCTCCCCCCCCCCTTGCATCTTCGGGCGGGCGGGCAGCGACGGCTTGGATGTTGACCTCGGCGTTGGTGGGGCACTTCGTATCGGGGTCAACGCAGGCAGCACCATATCCGGGTGTGCAACAAAAGTACTTCCTAACGGCAAGTCCCCCCGCCATGTCCCCCTCATTTCGCATGTTTTAATATAGGCCTTAATTTGGGAGGAGGGGCTTAATTTCATTTCATGCCTATAAAACATGCTGGGACTTCCTCTTGGGGGAGGCCATATTGTTGGAGAAACAGGGTATTGATTTGG